AGGAATACATTATTTGTTAATTTAATTGACATACAGAATGACAGATAATATAATCTACCAATGCTACTATCTCTTTATGTACTAATTCGCTTCTGTCATAAGCTGAATTTCTCGCCCCTGATGGTGGATACAGATAAAATTTGTTCGTTGGAGTAATTTGACCATTCCGCCGTATAAGGAAGGATGTCAAATATTGACGCTTTAAACGGATGTGAGGTTCATATTCATGGAGTCAAATTTTTCCACATGTTACAAATCACTCCACCAAAAATGTTCATTGAGAACTTCTTCGGCCGTTCAAAGATCCCTTCCCTCGATCATTTCTTTCCACATTTGAAGCGAGATTCTCTCTGCCCCATTAATTAACCAGGAAGGTCTTTCAGGGCGTGACGAGCTTTTTGAAAACGGTCTTTTGCATGATATAGGGGCAGATGCGGGGACCACAGAACCATGTTTAATTTTTCCTGAACGGCCCTCTGAATACCAGAAAAGGGGGTCCCTAGTTCGATTCCTCTTGGTGACAAATTTTTGCATTTCGAGTTGACGTTCCAAAATTCGCGCAAAATGGAGTTCTGATTGTTCTGGTTGGTTCTAACTCCATTTTGCGCGAATTTTGGCACGTCAACTCGAAATGCAAAAATTTGTTACCACGAGGAATCGAACTAGGGACCTCCTTTTCTGGTATTCAGAGGGCCGTTCAGGAAAAATTGAACATGGTTCTGTGGTTCCCGCATCTGCCCCTATATCATGCAAAAGACCGTTTTCAAAAAGCTTGTCACGCCCTGAAAGACCTTCCTGGTAAGAACCTGCTCCTCACTGCACCGCTGCCTTAAAGGCAGCGATTACGATAAAGAGGGAGCGCATCGGGGGAAGCATGTGCACCACACGAAGCAGTTACTTGGCTGCCAAGGAAGCGAGGTGTAGCGCTTTCACGACGAAAGGTGCGCTGGTTGCTGAGCAGGACTTCGAAAGCACTCCGCCCCCAAAGCGATCCGCCCACTAGTTTACTTGGTGATTTGGACGAGCTGCGTTGCCAGCAGCAGCACAACTGAAGCAACTCGACTGGAGCATGGATCGGCATGCTGTCACCAAACGCGTTGCGATGAACTCTTTCATAGACTCGCTTTCTGAAGCTGTCACCTGTTCATAACTTGAAAACGACGGCCAAAAAAGGGGGTCCTGCTTTGCGTTTTACTGACGGATTTCTTCGTTTTTTTTTTTTCGCCACTGGCGTACTATTGAGTACAAGCACTCCTAGAAATCCTCCTTGAACCTATCGCAATCACTGTCTTCGTATGAACTTTCAGGTCGTACCGTACAAGTTAAACACCAGCTCGATTTCCTCAGCGCCTCCCACTTCCTTGTGTGACGCCCAGTTTTAACTCGAGCTCAATACTTCACCAAGACATAAAAACAGCACGTGTTGCTATGGTGTACACTGATTATCTTATCGCATCACATTTCTCTTCATACCATCAGATCTGCAGCTGAAGATCTTGTCAGTAAGCCATTTTGGAGCTTTCATGAGATTAGCACATTATATTTATTATTAATTCAAATATCAAAAATATAATCTATGACATTGCACTTCCGATTTAGGATAGATTTGAATCTTATGACTGTCTCAATAAGTAAGGTCTGGGTATTGAGTAAAATCACATTATCCCTATAGCTCACCAAAGAACTAGTTTCTCGAGAGTGGAGAACCTCAATTTTCCTCTCTTTTATAAGGAATCTGTTATATAACGCTACATTTGACTAGTAGTATGAGTATCTTCAAAGGCAAACCCCGGGATTAGCCCGACTTGTGGGAAGGATACCGCGAGGGAAATTGTAAGGTCCCTACCTACCTAGATCACTCCAGCTTCGCCGCAAAAGTTGCGCGGTTAGGGCGCTAATCCTTACGGGCCTGCAACCATCGACCCCGTTGCAACGCTTCCCACCCACCTCGATATCGGCGTGCTCTCTCGAACGGCGTGATCTCTCGCGTGTTTTGTCTTCTTTGACCCCTGCCTCGCCATCGTTCCACATCCGACCTTTTGAAGGTTAAGGCCTTAATTTCAGCGATCCCAAAGATTTCTCTAGCTTTCCTTTCCACTTTGAGGCCGTGCGCAGCTTCAGTCATCACTACGAAACGCTTTTATCACCGGTTTTATCCCCGGGCTTGCTTTTAAAAGCATAACATAAAGCATTTGCCGTTGATCAATCCCTTTTTGGGATGCGGCACGCATTCTATTTCCATTTGTACATTCGTAGTGGCGTTTGAATGCGATGTGGCCTATACAATGACTTGCGGGGGCCAGCCGATGTACAAGTCAGTGTTTTTATCCTCCCAGACAAGTCTGGTACCAATTCCGGAGGGATGGAAGGCTTGGTTGGCCCGGGCGACTCACGACCCAGGATTTGATCCCCGGACCGCTCGCGTGGTAAGCGTGCCACTTGCCACTACACCACTGCCTCTCAATCAGTATCCTAAGTAAGTAAAACATCAATTCGGATACATAATGCGTTCCAGACGCGCATTCAGAAATGATTTGCGATTCTAAATAGAAGCTGAAGTTGCATGAAAAAATACGGCCGATTCACTTTTAGGTAAACCAGTATACATGTAGTCGAAGATGGCGGAGTTCTAGTGTGCCACTTATTGCGCATACGCTTTAGGAAGTTTTGGAGCGAAATATGCGCAGGAACCGAGTCTTTCGGGTGCTAAGGGATCGACTATATGACATCAGACACGCTTGGGAATATAGAAAAGCACTGATTGGCACATCGATCAATCTCCAATCGGAAATACATAGGCCGAATCGCAGTCAAAAATTTCCTCATTCAGAATAGAAGAATATGTTGGACATTGTAAAGGCGCTTCACCAATACCATTGCTTTAGGGCAATAACCCACATGAGATCGTGTCAAAGAATCTATTTGAGTGGGGGAGAGGGTATACAGGTGCCGCTGTTGCAGCTCGAAAGTGCGCGACAATGGCGCTAGCGCCTTAGGAAATGATCTGATGACGAGTAATGTGAGCTTATGGACGAGATACCTCGTGCACACCCCATGATACGCGGCGTGGATTACGCCGTAGTGGCTTTCCAATCGTCATCTTTGTCGATGAGTTCTTTATAAGATGTCTACTTCGTGAAGGAGATCCCCAATAAGGACGAAGGTTGAAGAAGGGAATGATTACTTACAAGGGAAGGATCCCAGGTCGAAGTGGCCATTTGTAACGAGACATACACCACTAGATGTGTTTTTGGACGCTGATCTCGAATCTGCTCTCCAAATCTGCGGAACGATTCTCTGAACGTAGTTATGAAGCGAGATAGTGCAGTGGCAGCGGCCCGAGCCGGCGAGTGAGAGGTCGTGAGATCGAGTTCTTTGGCGATATCTCACATTTGCTTTCCTTGAGACATTGCTAAAGATGCTTTTATCCATATAAATTATTAGCGATTGCCTATATTACAAGTGGGAATAGCTAGCGAGGAGCATCTAACACTGTGCGCGCCATTCGCAAAAGATCGCCCCTTGTACTCGTAGCGCCCGCGTCAGGCCCTTTCGTGCCAAACAGAGGTGATATTCGTGTTCAGCGCGTCAAAATGCCCCTTTCCTCAACTTTCGGCCCAAATCCGAAATTTGTGCCTAACTTTGAAAATGTGGGCAGTCACCGTTGGTCATTTGCACATGGCACGCACACTTGATCGAAACTCCTCGCTATCTCCTCGCACTAGTAATAAAGGCGAGTGCTGATGACTTAGCATAGATGAGGATTTCCTTAACAATGTCCTCAGGAAAAGCAAAAGTCAAAACTCGCCGAGAATTCGATCCCACGACCTCTTTCCCGTCGGCTTGGGCCGCTGCCACTGCACTATCTCGCTTCATAACTACGTTCAGAGAATCGTTCCGCAGATTTGGAGAGCAGATTCGAGATCAGCGTCCAAAAACACATCTAGTGGTGTATGTCTCGTTACAAATGGCCACTTCGACCTGGGATCCTTCCCTTGTCAGTGGAAGACAGCGAATTACATAAGTGTCTGGGCCGGGAAACAATTCGCATTGAAGGATATGCCCCGGCGATCTAGCTTGACTTTCCCCGCAGCGCTGCTAGCGCACCATCCGAGCAGAACGTCCTCTCCCTGTCGATCCTCTAGATGTTTAGCAGGAGGAGAGCTTAAAGGAATCTTGCGCGGAAAAATCATGATTCTATTTCAGCCATAAATCACTGGCTTGAGACTCATTATCCACGATAATAGTGAAAAGAACTGAAGTATTGCTTTCGTTTTGATTAGAAATTCGAAAACTCGAAAAGGCTGCTACGCGTTCGAATTGCCCACGGACGTCTTTCACGAATGCTGGCGACGGGGATGCTCAAACTTGGTTCTTGGAGTGCATTCACTAGAAGCTCTTTCTGGCCTTCTGCTTCGTTGCATTCACATCTTACACTTCTACTCCATCCTATTCCATCGATCGATTTGTCTCCACTCTCCGAAATCGCGCGCTTTAACCCGATTCTCTCATTGCGTCGCCTGGTACGTAGCCGGCCAAACGCCGTCTTCTTTCCATGCCTCGCCTGGCTCTGCCTCCTGGTCCTTCGATGGTCCATAACGTGTAGTTTTTGTACGTTTGTTTCTCTTCAGAAACCGAATCTTCATGCGTGAAACTTTGTGTGCTATTTCCAGTGATCACAACTGACATATTCATGTTAGGAAAGAGTGCAAGAATTTTCCGCGCAAGATTCCTTTAAGTTGAAAGGACAGCAGCGATGAGAGTCGCATCGCATTAATGCGCAAATCAAAGGGGTACAGAAGGGGTGTCTCGGATTCTGAGCCGTTTCTCATTTCTTCATCCCTGCACCACTGACCATCTTTCCGTCTTTGATGGTTTCGTGTATCCAACCGAAGCGACGAGAACAAGAGAGATCTGCATCACACCTTCTACTCGCATTCTTTTACTGTTTCAATCTAATGACCAATTTTGTCCACCTTTGTTCCTTTTTAGGTAGCTGACTACAGGAGACCAGGAGACCGTTGGTATTCTAAAACGTAGGCTCTCTTGCTATCCTCCTGTTCACCCGAAGTAACGGGGGATTGTCGCGACTGTTGATCGTGCGGCAGGTCATTCTTTCCGTCTGAGGGAAAATTCCTTGTTCTCCAATTCTCAAACCATTGCTTGCTGATTACATGGCTAATGGAACTTGTCCAAAAACGTTATTGATATTCCGTTCTGCTCCAGCCATTTTGGGGCAGAAACGAAATCCGTACAGTAGGCAGGTCAAGATGTACTACTTATCTTTCAGACTTGTTGACCAGATCAATTACGGAGGAAACATCGTACAAGTAAATCATGAGGTCACACTAGATGATCCCATCATAACGCCAGGCTCTTTGAGCGCACTCCAGCTGATGAAACTTTTCGAGAACATCCTTACTGCCTACTTCACACCCGATCTACTACTGCAAAATTTTGCTCGAGTTTATTTTCTTTTGGAACTCAACCGGCTGTTATACTCAACGGGAGTACGAAGGCATCACACTTTACCCTTCTAAACTTGGTTCGTGATGCATCAATCCAAAACTAATCCATGATTATGGCTTGTACCGACTGGGTAGAGCTATTTTAGGCTGGGATTCCAATGACGTAAATGAACCTGGGTAAGGAGGTTATATATGGGCTGAAGCCGCTGATGGTGGGTGGCTCTTCCACCAATCAAAAACCGGCTCGAAGCCTTCTTAGCATCACATCATTCTAGGTTTGTTTACTAGAACGGGATTGGTAAACAAGAATAAACAACTTCTTCGGAAATAAAGGGGAGCCGCATATCCTCCGGTGGAAATAATTGTATACTTATATGTATGAACATTTATGTATGTTTACATATTTATATACATATATATTTACGTTTACTTATTCATTTTTTATGATTGTCTCTATTTATTTGTTTAATTAGTTACATTTATTATTTAAGTATATATTTATTTACATTTCTATATATTTAATGTGTGTGAAGCATATTAAAGAAATTGATTTTGTTCTTCAAAATGATAATTTAAAAAATTCTTACCGTATACGTGGCTCACATCCACTCTTCCCTCGTCTGGTTCACTGCCAGACAATTCGTCCAAAAGGAAGAATACGTTGCCATCTACCGAGTTGTTAACTTCACCCTCTACCTGACTGCTCGATGCGGGGATTTCAACCTGCTCCTGAATATTGAGCACATTCTTCAAAAATTGTATCACTTTCAGATGATGACCGAAAAGGTCTACGTGTCGGATTTCTAGCCGTCCTTGATTCTAAATAAAAAAAAACACCAACCTTCACTTCATCAACTGTCGCCTCTTCCCTGCTTGGTGCGGCTTCTTCTGACTCGTAAATCACAATTTTGCTGCCAAGGGTTCGTGGTTCCTTGGTTTTCGAGCGTTCACTGCCACTTGGAGGTCGATTGGTGATTGGAACCACAATATCGCCTATGGGCTCTGATGACATCGAATCTTGCTGGGATACCGGAGCTTTCCAATAGGTTGTCGGTGGTACAGGTTTCGATGAAGTGGAGATTTCCTCCTGTTTTGACACAGGAGATTGTTGAGAGTTAGCCTGCACAACTGGCACCACGATATCGCCCAATGGCTCTGAGGAGGTGGAATCTTGAGCAGTCACAGGAGGCTTATTTGACTGAATGAAAAGATGTCTGCCGGAGTCGACGGTGAAGGATCGCTGCGAGTTTGGCTCTGGTGATGGCGATAACGACGACGCCGACGGCGTTAACGATATACGACGATCAGTTGTGTAGTAGAGCACCACTCGCTCAATGGAAGGCGCTGGGGTTCGGCCACGTCGACGAGTTGTTTCTGTGATCCTCCTGTTTCTCGTCGCGCTTCTTCTTATCGGACTCCTCACTTGGCTCGGATTTTTTGTACAGGTATCGCCAGAACCGATCAAAGTTCTCCAGATCGACCTAAACAAATCACCTCTGCTACTATATTTGTCATTACCCTAGTCCAAAACTATTGTGTATCTCTTATGAGTGATTTGAAAAACATAATTCCATAGTGAGGTGGCACAGTGGCGAACGTCATCGCCACCAGCGCACAGTTTATGGTTCGAATTCCACTCAAGCAAACTTCACCTTGCACCGCTCCGTAGCTAGTTCAATGTGGGGAACTTCTCCCCATTCAAGAGCTCATCGCCTACCTTCGCCCTGCTCCTCCGCAGGTAGGTCTCCCACACTTAATCTTTGCTCTCTGGCTCTAAGTCTTCTACCATTCTCTTCCAACAATCTGACTACAAAGGCTAATACGATCTAGATTTGACGAATCCTCCGAGCCAAGCCGCACCCCGGCTTGCATACACGGAGTAATGTGGGGGAACGGGGATACAACACACATCACATTCGAAAATCCTCAGCACCCATGGGTTCACTTTATCGTTCGAACAACCATTTAATTACATCTGTTAAGAAGTCAAAAGAAGTCTAAGGCGTGCCTGATGAAATTTGAGCTTCTACTTCTTCAAATTATTCCAGCGGCTTACCTCTTTCTTTGCATCCTCTCTGGCACGGTGAAGATTGCAGTTGAATCTCATTTTCACAAGGCTCACTTTATCCATCTCGGAGCTGACCAACGAATTCGCTTCGCTTTTCTCCGATGTCGTCAATGAATCCATTCTAGTCATATCCATTTTTTGTTTCTGAAAAATGTATCAAAATGGTTACTGCAGAAATCTTTTCCAGACGTCTGCGCTCTATTCAATCCATCACTGACACTCGTATTTGGAAGGACTTCGTCGTTAAGTTGAATCTGAATAGATGGCTGCAATTCTTCATCAACACCCGTCGTCGAAGTGGTTGTGTTGCCAGGCGGACTGGCGCTGACGCTCTTCTCGGAGCACGCAGAAACCTTAACCTAAAATCGATATCTTTAGTTGAAGCCTGCCATAGAAGTCGATAAGGTTCAGAAAAACATGGTAGGTTGATGGGATAGCCTTGCTACTAACCGAAAGTGTCTTATTATCGGCAAGGCAAGCTCAGGAACAAGAAAATTATTACACAACAGGAATATCTACCTTAAATTGTTTTCACACTGTATACCGACGAGGTTTTCCAGATGGAATCTTTATTATCTGGCCTTACTTTTCGACCGTTTCGTCTTCTTCAGAGGCCTGGATGTCGAAGATTCCACCGATGCGGAGCGTCAGCTCACGCCTTGTGTTAGTATGGCGTCAATATAGCGAACAGATTACAGATTATTAGATCGTTTGAATAAGGGTTCGCTATATTGACGCCATACTAACACAAGGCGTGAGCTGACGCTCCGCATCGGTGGAATCTTCGACAATCTCCAGGCCTCTGAAGAAGACGAAGCGGTCGAAACGTAAGGCCAGTAAATAAAGATTCCATCTTAAAAACCTCGTTTGGCATACAGTACAAAAACAATTGCAGCACAATAACATCAAATGCCGAGGTTCCAAGAAAGGACGACATGGAGATCTACTGGAAACCTTAAAAATTTGTGTACCTCCGGAATTGGGACGGACCCATCCGATTCTGAAGCCGAAAGCCTGCTTAGGTTCATCGTCGCTCGCGTATCCAGGTGAGGTTGATTCCACCCACATTTCTGTTCGGGATCTTCGCTCCTCCTCTTCGAACGGATCAACAAATGCGTTCGCACTGAAAATGAGATCAGCATCATATTTCCCAGCGAATATTTAAAAAATAAAATATTGGGCAGCAATCAAGAAATAGCGAGATTTGATGAAGTGGCGCTAAAATAGTGGATTGAGGGTAACACCAGCTATCAACCGCTCCGAGATGCGCCATGGTTTCGACTCACATTCAAAATCATGGATGCGTTTTACTGCTTACTTCGTTCACACGGCGAATTGCGACAGCCGGTGTATACAAGTTGATATTTTGCTTTCGGGAACGTTTATTGTCGGGTCCACTGGTTGACCACAAGCGGGTAAGAAATATGTAGTGGGCTTCAGAAAGAATGGCCCCTTCAGACCGTGCAAAACCCTAGAGAAAAACTACACATTTTTTTCGTGTTTTTTTTGTGGTGTGCACTAAGGTATCGCACGGTCTGGAGAGGCCATTCTTTCTGAAGTTACCTCTCCCTTACCCTTGCTCCTTGGTCAACTAGTTGATACTTGGTTTTTCACGTAGCGGGTAGTCCATCCGAGAGTGAAAATAGATGAGGTAAGCGATCGTCGACTCAAGCGAGAAGCGGACACATTTTCTGAGAGCTTGTAAAAAAACATTCCAGCCGAAATTATGGGAGGAGTTATCTAATATTGAAGCCCCGATCACAAGTCATTATCTCGCAATTCAACGCGCGTTAAAAAAGTGGGGGAGGGGGGGGTGAACGGAAAGCGGCGGCAATAAGAAAGCGCAGCTGGGCTTAACCGATTCAGCGGTGAGCATAGACTCAAGAACTCAACAGTTTCTTAGAAGCGAGCTCAGCAGCAGCTTGTCTGCCCTACTCCTTTCATTACTGATCAAGAAATTAGCGCTACCCGCTTTGCCGACGCAACAATTCAGACAACCAACAACCCCTAGCCAACCGTACAATATGCGCCTGGGTCAAGGAATTATTAATTTGCCGGGAAACTTAAACGAGGAGAAGCTGCAACTGAATGTAAGAATTTTGCCCCATAGCCATGCGAAGAAACCCCCAGAGTAAAAAGGAGATACAATTCGAGCAGCAAATTCCTGGGCTTAGGAAGCGAACATGACGGTCAGAACGCGTACAATGGGAATCTCGTATAGGTTAGGCATGCGTCAATAAAGACAGATGGATGTAAACGGAACGAGTGATGTATAGAAACTAAGTAACTGCATTCAGCGGATTAGGCAAGGGTTTCGGAGAGTCAGATAACAGATTCTCTTCACCCATGCATATGAAGAATTTTTCACTACATTAGCTTTTCATGAAATCTTTCCTTAATATTTTTTCTATTTTCCCATCCAAAATTTTAAAAAGGGGAGCAAAATTTTGAATTATTGTTGACGGCATCATATCAAGTAAAGCTTTTATGTATTGGTACTTGCACTGAACAATGTTTTACTCGCTAGAAGCAAGTAGGCGTTGTAACTTTGCGATATCGCCTAGTATGAACGCTGGTTGGACCAGAGTCAACCCTGCGTTGCGCAGTTCGCAACGGCACGTTGAGAGATCCTCAACGCACGCTGTATGGGCGGAGACGCAGACGGCTCGAGCATGCGAGTGTGAATGTTCGCGCGAGAGAACGTGTCTAATCGGGCGAAACTGCGCAACGTGGCCGTTTGAAAACTGCGCAACGCAGGGTTGACTCTGTCCGCACGCTGCACCGACCTAGTGTGCAGGCGATGGCCCATTAATATCGTGCACCTGCTTTGCTTCATTTGATAATGAAATAGGGTGTTCCAGCAAGTTCAACGAGGGAGTCGTATTCGGTTTTGTGTGAGGACAAGGGGGGGTCAAATTTGAAATTTTCTGAGGGAGTCCTGTTGCAAGAAGGAGAGAGTGTCTATCTGTGTCGCTTCTGACAGAATTTTCGACAAATTCGGCGGAAATGACGGTTTCTTCAGCGAATTGGGCAAAAAACTTCATAAAAAGAGCTTGAAAATAGGAAATATTAGATATCATTTGTGCTCCGCTCCTTTTTAGAGATTTGGAGATGCCAGTCGACGGCCGTTCTACAGGGAAAAAGTGAATCGGTCGACTGGTATCACAATCAGAAACAGTAGAACGGAGGCTGTGGCCGGGACTCTCCTGGGCTGACCGTGGGGAGGTAATGGATCGCTACCGAAGGGCCTCAAATGAGTTATTACGCATGGTGCAACTTGGAAGTACTGACTGTCACCAAAGTCACCATCAGGGTGTGTGGTATTCATTGGCACCGAAAGTTCACCTTTGCAGGTAGAAAACATCAATGGAAGCACGTGAAGTAGCAAAGTTCTACATCTCTCTATTACTATCAAGGAAGGTTCGAAAGCGGATTGCTGCAAAAATACGCTTGCCTGATCTCATAGTGGACAAACATTTTCCAGCGCAATACCAACTAGACAATCGGGGAAGGTGCTTAAAGTAAGCTGAAATAAATAAATAAGAAGCAGAAGTTAATTGAACAGTAAATACACGTTCGCGAACAGAGCGAAATTACCAGTTTATTCGTTCGAAAATCGAAAGTGAAGAGGGCTTCTAGCATGGGAAAAAGACAAAACACTTGAAGGAAAACACTTAACTGTTCTTGTGAGGGCCACAGTGCTTAACGGAAGGGCCACAGCAGTGCAAGAGAGAGGAACGTGGGCAGAGCAGCATCCGCCGAGAGGGCCGACGGTTATGTAGACACAATTGAAGCAACAACGGCGCGTTGCAGCGCCCAAGCAAAGGCGCTTGTTCGCGCAATTTGGGCCCGTCAGCGTGCCACCAGGGTCGGTCCTATCGTTGCTACTTTTCGAAAAATTTTTACGACCCCCCTCCCCCAAGGTGGATTTGATACGACCCCCTTTTCCCTACCTCCACCATCTCCATCTTCCATCAAAACCCCGCCCACTTTTTCCTCCAAAAATGCCGTCGAGCGGGGGGGGGTATACGCGCGCTGAAACGGCAAATTTTCTCCCGCGCCACTCCCCACTCATCTAATGCATTCTTGACAATCAAAAAGTACGACTTCCTCCAACTAATACAGTACGACCCCGTGGTACTCTGTACCAAGTATAGTTGAACCTAGTGCACCACTCTTCAGTACTGGTTCCTGCTATTCACTTACGGGTAAGCTTTCTCTTAAGATTTCATCGCGACTCGTGCTTTACTGGAAGTAGAGGTGTTAGCAAATGAAAGTGGACGCTGGTCCTACTATCTCACTCACGGGAAGAGTTTCTCTCGAAATCATCACGACTCGTGCCTTTAATGAAGGTAGAGGTGTAGCAAGGGAAAGCAAAAGAAGATAAACTAAATATAAAGATATGAAAGACAAAAAATATATAGAAAGGCTACGAACAGATCAAAATGATGAACAAGGTGACAAGAAATAATGACAAGACGAATGATAGCTTGGTAATGCGCAGCGCAAGTGACTTTCACTGAGAAAAGTTGAGATATATGAGTGGATATTTCGAGCAGGACGTCTTTGTTATGAAACTTGAAGGCATCAGAACATTTCATTGAATGTTGGCTCTTTTCTTTCAACGTAAATGGGGTCACCCGTAATCAAAGTAGGTTACAGGTTTGTCGTAAACGAGTTTAATAACCTCGGAGAAAAAATGACTAGATATTGCATCTCTGGGACAGGTGGGACAGGTTACAAGTTGGGAGTGTAGCTGGGAGTGGTATTGAGAAGCAGGTGTACGTACCCGAGAACTTTTATGTAGTGGAGTTCAACACGTTGACGACAGCGTGACCCAACCTTAGATCACACTTTCCCACATTAGAGATTCGGTGTGCCTGATTTATTTGGCATTTTTCGAGTTTGAAAACTGCACATATATGTTTCCGCAGAGCGATACGTTCTTCTAGCAATGAGATTATATTGAAAGGATGAATTTTCAATGTAAAATTGAAAAACTGCTGAGACCACGCATTCGCGGTCGCTAATGAATGAAATGCACTTATTACATTCTGCCTTAAAGCTCTTTTTTTACTCTCTTCAAAAAAGCAGCGCGATTTCATCATTCCACTCGCTATTTTCGTAAAATATGGGTGTCGTCCTAGCAAATTACGGACAGCAATATGTTAGCACATACAAATTCCTGGGACGACATTATGAGAAAAAAATTGTAAACGTTATAGCGGGAAGAGAGGACGACAAAGCCTCACTAGTGTGGAAAGATGGGAGGTCTGAGAAATGGAGAATTCGCAATTTCGCCAATGGACATAGACCTTTGTTTCCGCATGCCCTAGTCTCCTTTGAACTACAATATAATCAACAGGACTTTACATGATACAACGTAGTCTTAAATGACGCACCTCTACTGAAAATCCCCATTACAGCGGAGTTATTGCATGTAAGGACTTCGTTATTACAACAGTTCGATTCGCTTGAAACCTTACCGAGTGAATGCTTTTGGAATAACTCTTACACATCGCCAGAGAGGACTCCGAATGAAGCTCATATAAAAAGTACCATGTAACTACGATCAAAAATGATTTTCCTTAATTTATATATTGGAAAAGCTGCTGACTGAATTGATATCACAAACATCATCTTTCCAAATTTAAGTTGGTTTTTCTTCTCTGGGATTCCTTAACAATATGTACTTCTTCCAATTATTTATTTATTTGTGCTTAACAGCCAAGAAACTTAGAATATGCACGAATAAAAATTTCCAAACAAAACTATCCAAACAATATCAGTACTAAACCATTTGATAAATCACACTCCTGAGGCTGTGTCACTACGAATAATAATGCGAATCTAAGAAGACAGACGTATTAGCTGCGAGCCAAGCGGTTCGCAGACTTTAAGAAATGGTGGAATGAAAAGGGGATTCCAGCACTAGTTTTGAAACGGTCTCAGGCTTAACGAGGGCATAAGTTAAGACGATCAACCATTACCACACGAGAAGAGGATTTTGTAGATACTGAACACGCCATACCCAGACTTGAACAACAACACAGACCTGCATCAGTCGGCTATGATGCCCACTCGCCACTAGGGGTCATAGGAGCTTACCGAAACTCCGAAACACGGGTATACCGACCACCCTCGT